TAGGCGGTTGATGTCATTTATAGCTTTACTATATAGGCGGTTGATGTCACTGATAGCATTTACTATATAGGCGGTTGATGTCATTTATAGCTTTACTATATAGGCGGTTGATGTCATTTATAGCATTTACTATATAGGCGGTTGATGTCATTTATAGCATTTAATATAGTCTATTCATGTTGTGTGGGTTTTTTTTTTTAAATCATACACATATCCAGTCAACAGATCTTGGCTTGATGAAATTCACGAAAATTGATTATTTTATTCTTGATTGGCTAATTCGTTTTCTTGTTTACAATTTGATCAAGTAAATGGGTTGACAAAAAACATAATGGGTGGACGTTATATATAGGACATATTGCCTTAAGTAAATTGAATAAAATATAAGCATTGTAATAGATTAGTTTCTGTACACCTGTCACATATTTCTGAATCTGGTTGACATCATGATTCAGGTCATCCATGATCAGAATCGTCTTTCCTGTTTAAGATGGAGACTATTTTTACCAAAGTTAATTTAATTTTGTTGGCTATAATTAAGAAGGTGATCTGTATACAGTTGCTGTCTTTACTTCAAACAGGTTTCTAACCTTCAAGAACTAGTATCTTACATGAATATATCACTGTTATCGACAAAAACAATTAATATGTGTGGGTTTGTTACATGGGGTTGGATCACGTGGCTAAGTGGGTAAGACGCTGGCTCGCTAGCCTGGAGGTCGGGTGTTCGATCCCTGCATTGGCCGAGAAAGTTCATCCAGATTTTCCGGCGTGGTTTCCCCTTGTCAGTGTTGCAGGATGGAGGGCTCGACAAGGACAGTTGTCTAGTCGTTCGGAACATATTGCCGTGCACGTAAAAGATCCCTTGGCAGTTGGAATTCGATATAAGAGTAGGCCGTAGCGCAACTGCCCGGGCAAAATTTCCCTCATAGCACACTGTATGGCGTATGCCCGTCTTCATTACCCAGTTTAGGAGCAGAACAGTAGGACGTTAAACCCCATTTCATTTCATTTGTTACATGGGAATGTTCAAAGACTCTATTTACAGTATTAAATATGATGATGCAACTGAACTTTCTCTTTCTAATAGTACGGCGTAATTGTGGTACATAAGACACGTTAGCGAAATAATACTCATTATAAATATCGTTATCATTTGCGATCGGAAGTCTAAACGTCTTGCTTCCTTTCAATTGACATCCTTTCAACTTGTAAATTTTCTATTTTCTAGTTTACCAAGAAAGTCTTGGTCACTATTAACAGTGATTTACATCCAAACTGCCATCAGTTAAAATCTGTCATCAGTTTAAGTTAAAAACTGTATTAACTCTTCTATGTCTTAGTTTTTTGGGGGACGGGAGGGGGCGAATGGTTAAGGTCTGTCAAGTGGCGTGGTTTCTATTCTCCGCTTGTATGTGACAAACACGGAGTACGATCACCTGTCGAACGATTTGTTAGTCCCGAAGCAACATAACTTTTGTCGAGTGGACGTTATACGCCTTCATATGCAATCTATTTGAAAAAAAAAAATGAAATAAGTTTTTTTTTACTTCGGAAGTAAACAGAATTACAACTAAAAACTACACCCATTAAGAATCTATTTAACTTTCACTGGTATTCGCCTACACATAGATCTTATTTTAACAAAATAAAACAAGAAATTCAATTAACTGACGCTTATCCACGTGTGTTTGGATGCAACCCAAAGAACCAAATGATAAAATATATTGCACTGAACAAATATGACCATACGCCAGGAATTTCTCTCAGATATTCGGGCACTGGGTTAACCTTTCAGTTACTGGGTTAAACTTTGGGTCAGGTTCCATCGATCGGCCATGCATCTTACGTTTCTCTTTAGTTAAAAAAATAAGTGACCTAACGATGAAACTTTTACATGTAAAATGGTAGGCCTAATAAAATAAGAAATTTAATATCACTATGCAATGAAAATAAAGGTGATAAATCATCTCAGATTTATCTTAAAAAAAAATATATAACGTTTAATATTTCTATCAAATCCAACTAAAACACCGGAAGTGTTGATTTTTTAAAGTATTACGCTGTTTTTGTACTAATTTATCATATTGCTTTGACACTTAAATCAATTACTTTGGATGTGTGCGCTTGAAGGCGGTCGAACTTAAACATAGTGCATCGATTATTTCCGATGCTAATATTCACTGTGTTAAACAGCTTGTAAAACCAATGGAGTTAACCTTTCCATCAGCTGTTGATTAACGGATAAACATGGCGTATAGCCAAACTGAGATGAATTTGGGGTTTAACGCGATTCGTAAAATATTATCGAAACTTAAGAGTTTTATTCACTAGCTTATTTTCGTCTTTCCTATCTCTGTCCGTCCGTCTTACGTCAAGCGCTTTTTACGGTTCCAATTTTGGGCTGAGTGATTGCTCTGCAGATAAACGATTTCGATGGTTATGAATTACCAGTCCTGATTGTTATACGGTGTTACTGCACTCTTCCAAATGTCAGAATGAACACATATCTATTATATTGAAATATGTGTTATTGTCTTCCAACATGCACGCTCTCGATGGCATTGGAAATGAAATGAAATGGAGTTTAACGTCCTACTGTTCTGCCCCTAACTGGGCTAATGCACTTGGGCATACGCCATACCGTGTGCTGTGAGGGAATTTTTGCCCGGACAGCGGCCTACTCTTATATCGAATTCCAACTGTCAAGGGATCTTTTATGTGCACGCCAATGTGTACACGGGACCTCGGCTTTTCCTGCCATCCGAACGACTAGACAGCTGTCCTTGTCAGGCCCTCCATCCTGCATCACTGACAAGTGGGAACCACCAGGATGAACCTTCTCGGCCATTGCAGGGATCGAATACCCGACCTCCAGGCTAGCGAGCCAGCGTCTTACCCACTTAGCCACCGTGATCCCCTCGCCCTGTTTATTGGATTACGTTCCGATTTGCTATTCGACTTCCATTCATAATTAAATAAAAAAATAGATAATCGAGACTATGTTTTTTATCCTACTGACTTTAGTAATGATGATCGAGGCTAGCTCCAATATTCAATCGCTAAAATGTCGGTTCATTGTGATCAATTTGACTGAAATTTTCAGTAAATACCCTTTACATTATCTAGCTTTTAACTATTATAGTGAGAATTGCCAGCTCTTTATCTAATCTCCCATAATGTATCTCTAAAATCACTTAAATAAAGTTTGGATTTTGATTATCGACCTACTAATTATCATTTTTAATCGACAACCGAGACTGCAATAGAATTTTTACCGGAAGGAAGGAGATTGTATTTTTCATAATGGTAAGATTCAATTAATAGAAAATCTGTTCAAATTTGTTTTGATCAGGGTTACTGAATTTCATTTTTGGTTCAAACATTAATTTTTAAAATCCTTTAAAGGTTCTCAATAATGTGTATTTCCTCTCTTTATAATTATTGACGTATTTCAAAGTGATATATGTAGAATGGAAAACTGTCCTCAATCGGGTTAATATTACAGGGGAACTGAACGTTATTTGTGTTTCATCTATGTAATACATCCAAGGTGTATTTGAAATATATCTATACCAAATAATAAGCTTGATACATGAAATTAAACGAAACGGAAATGACATACTAGATGAAATTCGATCTACCGATGGTCTATAGTAAGGTCTATTTGATAAGGCCTACATCAAGTTTGGTGAAAGGTCACGAGATGTAAACAGGGCTAGTGCTAATCCAAATCCTAACCCTATGGACCTAGTCCTAAAACTTACCCTAACCCTAACCTACATCTCACCAACAATCACATGCCCTAACCTTATTTACATCTCAGCGACCTTGACGAAAACTGAGTTGGCTTTAACAAATAGATCTAGCCGTGCTATAGGTGGGTGTTTTCCGTGACGTCACAGACCGTCCGGTATCACAACCCCGACATTCTTTAACCAATACTCTTGTTTGGCAAATTTTCGATAATGTAATTTATCAACTGCAGATCATAATATTTGGGGTTCATTTCCCTGAATGTATCCTTAAAATAATGTGTTTTGGGTTTTTTTGGTGGGGGGGGGGGGGGGGTGTACATTTTGGAATTTCTTTTATCTGATTCCAATGTTGCATTTCTGTCCAATTTCTATTAATTTTCCTAATAATACTAAGCCATAATTTGTCGGATTGACTTATGTGCACGCTAATCTTTAACTTCTAAAAATGTGGGCACTCCTGGCACTACCACAGGAATTGAAGTTTACACCACACCTCTCTCAATATATGCTAACTGAATCATCCTGGAAATGAATATATCGTAGAAGTTTTATCAGATACACCTCTCTAAGTAAAAATATGCTAACAGAATAATTCAGAAATGAATATATCGTAGAAGTCATATCAGATGCGGAAACGATAGAATTCACATATACAGAATAAGTAAAACATGTGAACCTACTTCTGCCAGCCTGCTAGCAAAGTGAACCAAATATCACGCAGTAAGCAATGCCAAATTCGACATTTTACACGCACATGGAGCCTTTTTTTACTCTTTCAATAAAGGCATTTGGCAATTAAAAATTAATCTAATTGTTTGAAATATTACTTAATGGGGAAGTCTTTCACTCTATTAATGAAGATCCCGTAAATTCGAAATGCAAATATCTATTTGAAATATTTCTAGTTCAAACTGTAATGCTAACGTCTATTAGAACCAACGGAACTCTATTGAGACGGAAATGAAAAGGCACCACTAATTCGTTGGCGAGATAAAATGTAGCTGAAATATGACTTTGGACATGACTGTAGGTTGCACATTTAATCGTTTTGTTGGTTGCAGTATAGTAGGGCTGTAACTGATAACATTGAATCTTATATTAGCCATGTGTACATACGTACGAATGTAAAAAATGAACAGATTATGCCACGGTTCGTCATGGAACAGCTGATAAAGGGAAGTGTATCACATTCAAATACAGCATAACATTGTGTATTTGTTTATTAAAGACATTTTTAATTACCTTTCGTCTTGGATCAAACTCTCTTCCATCCGTTTCGCCACGTGCTCTGTATCCCATGTCCTTCATCCAGACCACGTGAACTATTCTAGCATAGGTGTAAATGAGCACGCCTAAAGGTAAGAAATACTGTAGAACCATTATAGTGGTGCTATATCCAACACGGCCAGATTCAGTTGGCCAAACTTCATAACAATAGCATTTGGTGCTATTACCTTCTATAAATTTGACAGTCTTTGACGTGATGGCGGTTGGAAGTGGCGTTAGGAATGCTAACAACCAACAAAAAACAATTACCATTAGACATTTTCGTTTAGGTAATCGAGGTCTGTATGGGTGTAAAATAGCTATATATCTCTCAAGGCTAATGGCTAAGAGTGTGTAAGCATTCTGGAACACTATAGCCACTTGTAAATACGTAATTATAGGACACAAAGCTTCACCAAATGGCCAGTAATTCAACAAAACATTAGCGACAAACGTTAATGGTATACAAACCACGGCCATAAGAATATCACCGGCTGCCAAACTAGAGATAAAATAATTCGTCACGGTCCTCATACGCCGCTGAGACAACACCAAGTAGCAAACCGCACTGTTTCCGCAAACGGATACAATAGAAACCGTGGTATATGCTGTAATGATAATGGCCTGCCATGGCACTGAAACCGAACTATCCACATCCCTCTTCTCCTCGACAGACATATTCCTTTCTCCATCAAATTGATACTCCATAATTGAAAACCATTAAAGTTTAATACATATTTTAGCTATTATTTTTATATCAAAAAAACGATGTAAAATAGTTATTCCTCTATTGTAAATCACATGTTATTACTCTTATAAAAGTTATAGCAGTTGTAAATCTTTCCAAAATTCCATTAAAGTTCCATAAAAACACCTTTTATAAAGTCCAATGAAACAATGTGGCTAGGTAGTTTAGCTGGATACTCTTGTCATTATAAAAGCTAATGGTGTAGTATCAGCTGTCTTCAAACCGTAGGTGGTCTTTACATATAAGTAGCCTCAATTTTATTGATTGGCTCTAAGGCTAAATTCTATTGTATGGATTATTCCTGACCAATGACACCACAGTTTTCTCTGTTCAGGCTTTAAAGCATCTCGTTGATAAACGACAGCAAACCTGGAAAATAAAATAAGTGATAACAGATAAACCCTTTAGTGCACAAATTGGTCTATTAGTAAGTATTTTTTAATAAAAAAAGGTGAAGACTGTTTTTTGGTTATAGTTTGTGGACCATAAATAAATGGAATGTAGTTTAAGTTTCTAATATATATGATTTTAATAATTCTTAAATTTTTAACGTTTAACTTTTCTGTATCAACCGGGATATTGAAGTCGAGCATACTGCACCAACTGGGCTATTGAAACCGAGTAAACTACATGTACACCATACGGGCTATTGAAGCTGGGCATAAACTACGCCATGTATTGTGCTGTAGATGAAACTTTTGCCCGGGCAGCGGAGTTTTGGCGTGGTCATAGTAGGAGTATTTCGCTTTCTTTGTGTACATATGACCTCGATTTTATTGGGGACATCCGAAGGACTAGGCGCATTTACTTGCCAGTCCCTGTGTTTTCCACATACAAAAAACTCGCTGGAAAATACCAAGGCACTCACTCTCCCGGCCAACAACTTGATCGAACTCGAGACCTTCTAGAGTGAGTTAATGCCATACTCACCGAGCCGCTGATTAAACGAAATATTTACACACGAGGACATGCAGAGGAATGTAAATATACAACGGATAATATATATAAACAACACTAGTAGGTATTATATAGTTTCAGGTATAATAGACTAACACACCTGTACTTAGAACTCAACGGAACAGTTTGGTGTTGAATAGCACATCGGCACCAATCTGACTATACTTCACCAAATTTAATTAAATTAAAAGATAGGTTGCCAGGCAACACCAGCTAAATCGATAAGGCTTGTCGTATATATATTCATATATTCTTTGGTCAATTTAATACCGATCTAATGATAACTGTTGTCGTTAGAGCATTCACAGGGTTCAACATAGTGAAACAAGGGCCAGAACTCTAGAAGTTATATTATGGAAATTATTGACATTCATTGGCTTCTCCGTTTTACCAATCTAGATGATGCGCATAAATTTAATACAGATCGGATGATAACTTTTCTCGTTAGACCGTTCACAATGGGTTCAAAAGGGTGTAACAGGGGCCATAACTCAAGAAGCAATTAACGGAAATTGCTGAAATTCAATAGATTTCTTGGTTTTACTAATTTGAATAAAACATATAAATTTAATACAGATCGGAAGATAACTATGTCGTGTCAACAAAGTGAACAAGGGCTATAACTCTAGAAGTAATCAACGGAAATTGCTGAAATTCAACCGTCTTCTTCGTTTTACTTATTTGAATAATGGATATAGAGTGTTTACAAGATTCAGCAAAGTAAAACAAGGGTCATAACTCTAAAAGTGATATACGGAGATTGATGAAATTCAGAAGGCTTCTTCATTTTACTATTCAAAATAATGCATATAAATTTTCATACGGATCGGATGATCACTTTTGTCGATAGATCGCTGATATGGTTCAATAAAGTGAAACAAGGACCATAACTCTAGACATTATATACGTAAATTGCTGAAATTCAATAGGATTCTTCATTTTACTAATTTAAAGAATGCAGGTAAGATTAATACGGATCGAATGACAACTTTAGTTGTTAGAGCGTTCACAAGGTTCTACGAAGTGAAACAAGGGCCATTTTTCTAGAAGTAATTAACGGAAATTGTTGAAATACAATAGACTACTGTAAACATACATAAATTTCATGAACATCAGATAATAAATAGAGTGTGCAGAGTGTTCATAAGAAATTTTGGCCGACAGATGGACCTACGGCCAGCCGGACGTACGGAAGAAAGCGACGGCAATATACGACTACATTTCCATGTGCGCGTACGAAAACAGTAATCGCAATGTTGGCAAATATTACTAAGACGAGCGCGTACGAAAACAGTAATCGCTATGTTGGCAAATATTGCTAAGACGAGCGATCGCTAGGGGTAACCTCTAAACAATGGTCACCATCGGGTCACAAGGGAAACAAACTGTTAATATATTATATCATGTAGTAGAATTGGGTTTCAACAGCCTGTTTAATAAAAACTATCTTATCAGACATTAACGTAATATGTCCTTAGATCTTCTCAATTTCTGGTGTGTGTTTTATATGAAAAACAGATTTCGAATCATTCTTGCTCGGAACATATTAACAATTATTCTTTGATTGTAAGCAATCATCCATGGTGGAATATTATTTAGTTTATTTACCTAGTGCTCTGGGTATGACTGCTTGTAATTACTTCCGATCTGTTAATATTTAAAAGACATAAAATCTGTCATTATTTCCTCCTACGTCAAAAGTATTAATGACAGGGAAACGTTTTCTAGAGAGAGAGAGAGAGAGAGAGAGGGGCGGGGGATTTGTTGACAGAGCAGGACGATGCAAAACAAAATACTTGTGAAAAAATTGTCAAATCACGTGTCACTAAAGAGATAATGGATGAGAAATGCTTTTACTGCATATTGATGATGCAAATCCTTTTTAAAGATTAGTTTCACCATCGCTCAAGATTTCTTTGAAAGCATCCAGCGAAGCAGATTATTGACAGTGACAACCAATCTTCATGAATATAAATATAACTCCAATGATACTATATTTACAACTAAAACAATATAACTCCAATGATACTATATTTACAACTAAAACAATATAACTCCAATGATACTATATTTACAACTAAAACAATATAACTCCAATGATACTATTTTTACAGCTAAAACAATATTCAAACATTTAGTTCTCCTAAGCTAATCCATAAAATTTATTATCTGATCTTCCAGTTAGGATAAATATCTTCAAGAGATTCTCAGTTCAGGTGATACACACATATTGAACGTATATATCCTAGCTATTTCTGCCAATATTAATAATATTATTGAACTGGTCTTTGTGTATTCCTCTGAAATATATAGCTAATTTTAGATCACAGTTAGATCATAGTGTTATAAATGAAATGAAATGGGGTTTAACGTCCTAATGTTCTGCTCCAACTGGGTTAATGAAGACGCCGTACAGTGTGCTATGAGGAAAATTTTGCCTACTCGTATATCGAATTCCAACTGCCAAGGGATCTTTTACGTGCTCGCCAATGTATACATGGGATAGGTGTCCTTGTTAGGCTCTTCTTCCTGTACCACTCCGTGCCACTGACAAGGGGAAACCACGCTGGAAATGCGAGCCATCGTCCTACCCACTTAGCCACCGTGATTCCCACATAGTGTTATAGCTTTAACGTAAAGAAATGTAATATTTGTGTCTCCTGTTAATAATATATTTCAAGGTTAAAAACTAGCATATTTCCCTTTTACCTTGTGGGGTGTGGCGATAGTCTAGTGGTCTACATCATAATATATGGAGCGGTTTTGATCCAAAGGAGTTTGTATGGCCGTGTGTCCAATCTCGTGGGTTTTCTACCCCCCCCCCCTCCTCCCCCGCTGTTAATTACCCCCCAAGTACATGGAGATTATTAAAATAAGTTGTACATATACTAGCCTCGAAATCACCTAGTTTGTGTCGAGTGGATGTAAAAATCTCTTTATCTCTCGCTGATGCACAAACAAAGACCTACATTAACACCTGCAAAGATTTATATCTAAGCAATTTATAAATTTAGAATACACGCTAAGCCGCTAACATCTGAAAAATGTGCGACCTTTAAGATTGGAGAAATATGTGTTTACATTAAACATTAGTAAAATCTATGGTTATAAGATTAGTCATTATTTTAAATTGGTATTCGATAAATGTCTCATGGTTAAACATACTTTGTATTCAACGAAGATATCAACAATGTTAATCTTGTTATATATTCAAGAGAAGGCTTTAATGAATCTATTTCTGTAGGTAAATTAATGTCAGTAACCTGTACAATAAATATATTTGGCAAGGTCATTAACAAATTGCCTGTCCATAACACAACGAATAATAATAAAATGGTCCAACGCATGGTTATATCTAGGAGTATTAATGTGGGGACTCAATACATTTGTATATGGTTAGTATATGTGGATATTTTGACCCCTTTTGAAGACAATACCAGATGGTTCAATATTCTATTTCAATAATTCAAGTGAGTGTCGGAGGCTTTAGCAGTGGAAGGAAACCAGAGGACCTGGAGAAAACCCTACGAAGTTAGACAGGCAACATCACTCCTTGTCACGTACAAATATTGGATCGAGCAACGCCACATGACTCAATGACGGCCCCACGAAATATAATGGAACATTAAATGTCTCAATACAGTTATTTATACACATAGATATACGTTTCGTAACCTTGCACGTGGATGACTAACTTGATTCAGGTTTTAATTTTAGCAGAATTGTCTACCTTTACTACCGTTCTAGAGCTACGGTGACTAAGTGAGTAAGACGTTCTACAGCTACGGTCGGTGGCTGGCTTGCCTGGGTTCGCTCCAGGACGTGTAGACTAAGAAAGTTCACTGAGATTTTCCGGCGTGATTTCCTCTTGTCAGTGTTACACATTGGCGTACACGTAAAAGATCCCTTGGCAGTAGGAATTCGATATAAAAGTAGGCCGTAGCGCCGTGTCTGAGGAAAATTTCCCTCATAGAACACTACATGGCGTATGCCCGTCTTCATTATCCCAGTCGGGGCAGAACATTTTATTACCGTTTTAACTCCAGTTTTAAGACGATAAATATTATCTTGGAATAATAAGTCGATGCCTGAGTTTCTACTGATTATTCATTGATCTTCTGTTTTTGTCTTTTTTTTTAATCGATTGTGAACAGAGCTAAATGAACTGATTTTATACTTTAAGAGCAGCGTACATATTATTTCACATCGATTAATCTATTTCGAACTTTATTTTCTAAGGGTGTTATTAAATAAACATTTAACAAAATAATCATTAGTTTTACATAATAAAAAACAGTTTGATTTTCCCTGAAGAAATACAAGTCTGCCAATAAATATTTTAAATATTTAAATAAAAAGGTTGTGTTTTCCTGAAGACAATAAATATATTAAGTAAGAAAACTAAAAGTTTTTTCTCTCCTCGAGAAAAAAAAAATCCTGCCAATAAATATATTAACGTAAAGATTCGTATACCTCGAAATTTTGATTGACAGGTTTCCCAATTTACACAATGGCGTGTATTCGTTCGGATTAACCCGTGATCTCTCGAGAAGACAAACACGGCAGCGATATTGATGAAGTGGCCGACTTATTAGAAACTAATTATCATAGAAAATGGGAGAAAGTGAACATCTTTCACCAGTAAAGACTTCTGTCAATCATCGTTATTGGCTGATTTACTCACTTAAAGATGTAATTTTCTCAAGTACATACTAATGAGAGTAAGATTTGATTATCCTGGTTGTTCTAGTACCGAAATTACAGGTTTCCAGAATATGTGCTACCAGTGCTACGGCACTATAGTAATATAATATATATATAGATGTGTTATCACCTTACCCCATGCCTGGACAAATCCACCAGTTACCCGAGTCTTGATTAATAGGTTATATCAACATACTGTTCTAGACGTTTGAAAACCAAAATATTTTAACCCTTCACTTCACAATAATTAGGTTCCAGCCTAGCACTAAAATATCCGCTTGATACGATTTCCTCACTGATATTTTAGTAGGTCCATCATACTAATAAAATGGACGACAATTAGTTTCGATTTTGATTTAGATATGACTACAATATGGATTCAAGATATATACTTTGATCGATATTTAATGTATATTCACGGTGACAGCTTCTTTTTAAAGCCTTAAGTTTACATAACCACGACTTATAATATACACAGAACATAGAAAAGAAAGTTATTTACAATATGGACAACACCTGATGTATTCATGTTTTATTACACGGAGAGTAACATACAACATATATTAAAGTCTACGTTTACAATAATTCTGCCTGGGTCACATAATATATTAAAAATTAATAAATGCATCAGATATTCTTAAAGTGCACAGAACCACGAGGATCAAATCATATTAGATGATTTTTGTGTAAATTAATGACATTTTTATAAAATCGTTGAGAGATAAAATATTAAATGAAACTGCTAAAGCCCGTATAAAAACCAGAATAAGTGCTATAGATACAATTTGAATGAAGGTTTATGTAACTAATGGATACATGGAAATAACATGCTTAGGTGGACAATCAACGTCTACTGAATTATTAACAAGAACTCATTCACTCATGAGTTCGGTGCTGGCCGAGAAAATTCCCAAAACCAGAATAAGCATTATAGATCAAATATGAATGAAGATTTACGTAACTAATGGTTACATAAAAATAACACAAACTTCTACTCAATTATTAACGGTGAATACAGTGCTGGCCTGGCAAATTCCTCGTTCAAATAACACGTCAACGAACTCTTGCCAGCTAGAACTGATTAAGAGTAGGAGGAAACACGGGGTGGGTAAAGTCTAAAAGTTAAGGCCCACTACAGATTTCGTCTAGGTCGCGACATGTAAATAATATATATTTACAATACATATTGTCCATAATAATATAATAAATATTTACAATACATATTGCCCATAATAATATAATAAATATTTACAATACATATTGCCCATAATATTATATTATAATAAACATTGTCAATGTATTTACAATAATCACTCCATGTGTTTAAGGTAAAAAGCGACACGCCGATGCTCCATCACACCCAACTCTTTGTGTGAGGCGCTTTTTTAGGTCCAACAATCGGTCTTCAATTATGATGTACTTATCTGTTTTCTGGGTGCTTGGTCTACGCCATACTTTGTAACGAATGATGGCATCGATGAAATTGAGATGTTTTTCTCATCAAACCATTCACATTATCTTCACCGTTTAGGGATGGGATTGGTTTAATAGACGATGTAATCTTTTAAATTTTTCATTATTCTATATTGGTTATTGTAGGCGACAACCAAAATAATTCTAGTCAATTCGCGAACACTGTTTAAGTAGAAATATAAAAACATAGTCTGCTAAAGCCCAAAGCATACCGACTACCATTTGTTGGTGTTTTAAAAAAAAACCAAATGTCTATAAACTTCCTGCAAATGACGAATGTTTAACGCAAATGAGCAGCAGTTGCTTAAAATAGATCGACGTTAATGTCACATGATTATACAAAAATCACTTGATCACACAATATGGCGAAAGTCTACGAGAGATGCTAATTGTAGGTCGGTTTGGGGAGGTTCGAGAATTTTCGGAGTACTAAAAAGCGACATGATATAAATGAGTATTTTTGGGAACACTAAATCTAAACCTAACCCTTTTAAGAGTGGTAAAAGGTAAATTTGATCCATGGTCAGACTTCTGAAAAGGGTTAGGGTTAGTATTTCCCAAAATACTCATTTATATAAAGCGGTTATTGTGGACTCCCGAAAAAACACAACCGGCCGACTATTAGCATCTCCCAGGCTACAAGGGCGCAGCCATTTCTGTACCACGTGATCGTTAGCGAAATACTGATTGGACGTCCGTATAAAATGTTTGCTCTCTGTTGAAAATCAACACAAAGGAGAAACAGCATGAACATGTTTTGGCCGAACAATGTTTTTAAAATTAAACAATTTTTATCTCGTGAACATTGTTCGGCCATCAATTTATGTTGACATCCAACGCACATCGGCTAACTTTTGTCGCAAAACACTATTCGGCCAACAAATATTAGCCGATCGTCGTTGGGCGTAACACCATTAATTTGCTTGTTATAGCAACAGACGTTCATCAAAGAAAGCCGACGCCCTACATCCTACGCCCTTTTGCGAATTGTATACTTTTAAATAAACGCTGTATGAAAAACCTTACAGACATTGATGCTCCTTTACTATAAGGTTATCAAGACAACCTAGCTGATTTTATTTATTTACGACATAGTGTCTTGTTTCACCATAAAACGTACTAATTATATTATAATAACACGACTGTCAATATGAAACTTCAATCCATGTGTACATAACACAACCTACTTTTAACTTGTTGCTTTTATTTATGTGAGAAAATTTAACGTGCATCTTTTTCTTTTTGTTTTTGCATGATGGCGTATGTTACATCCGCCCGATCTCATTAAAGCTTCACCCAGCATATTTGTTTCATTAGTTTTCTCACCCGTTTCGCATGAGAAAGGCAATACCATTAGTAAAACACAAGAACAGTCGTTTTTCCAATTCATTTTCGTATTGTATTAACCTCCATTGTACAATAAGAATTCTTCAAAACTAATCATCTGACACAGAAATATTCCTCAATGGAATTGAAAATAACCCGAAACAAATGCTGCCTGCTTAAAATAATTAAGTTTCTCGCCTTTTGAGTTATTAATACTACTTCCCCAGTGTTTATTCAAAATGAAAATTTGGTTACCTCTCGTTTCGTGTTCCAGTACAGTTGAATGGCGAACCATATATAAACAAGGCGTGAATTCTACATCAACAGTTCTCTCGAGTTTACGTTAATTAGTTTAATCCTCTCTTCCTTAATTATTAAAATAATTTTGTCACTCGTTCAGTTGTTCACGCAGTTCAATTGAGTACTGTATAAACATAATGCGGTCAGTTGATGAGACTGGTTCATATAGGTAAACCGTTATACAACGTGTCTATCAGAAATACACAAAATATGGCGCAGTCTTTCATCGAGTGACCCGAAAAGAATTTTGACATATGCAGGCTGACATTTTCAGACATATGTATTTTCTTGTATCAATACGATTCAAGGCCACTTAATACGTGTACACTCTAAACTCAAAGTAGAAGTCTTTTGAAATCCCCCGCCATGTATATTTTGTTTATTTAGTAAACTTGGTTGCTATTAAAGGTACATACTGTGCAATAATAGGCTATACTTACCACATATTTTAACTACTTGATTGACTTATCATTAATAGTCCACGAGAAAACTGTTTAAATTTTAACAATTCCATTAACCTTATCTTGGGGTGATAATTTCATTTCATGTTTTATCATTCTTTATCTGTACGTTAATTAGAGCTGTGCTCATAAGTAGAAAGTACTCAATGATGCGATGAAACATAATAGTGTTGGGGTTTCTCCAGGTGATGGTACTCTTCGAGTTCAAATATTGGAATAGTAACTGCTAAGAACTTGACCTACTCAAATATATTTATAATAGCTAAATGCCATATTGAATTTCGATTTGGTCATTTGAACAATCAAAGTACGTTTTTAAACACTGATGATTGGTCAATAATACTGAGGCGCTATATTTTGTGGTAAAATTACTATCGTTTATCAGATGAAGGAAAAGCGATAGACATCACTGCTTTTCTATCCAGGTATAAAACTTCTTGGGTAGACACGGAGGCTCAGTGAGTAGGACATTGGCTCGCTAACCTGGAGGTATCGTAAAAAATCATAATTAATATGGCACTGTGAGATTAATTGGCAGGGAGGCCGGGTGATTAACACATATACCCCAGCAATAGGCTTACGGTGGATTGGGTAGCCCATACGTCAGACCAGATAGCAATATTAGAAATATTATAAGTATATTCCACAGACACATATATAACTCCGTAGTAACGAATATTAATTTCAAATGACCATAGCGTTAAGTTATTTTAAAATGTCGAATTTGACTATAACTATATATTTAACTGAATTTAGTTCGCGTATAGTCTAAACCTCGACATCCGAATTTTACTCACAATACTGAACATATACATTGCACAATACTTTCTATAGTACGTTTCAGCAAACAACAATAAAATATTTTAACATAGTACTACCATCTGACAAAAACTCTAAAGATAGGTGGAGGGATGCCCTGAAACTGATATTTCTTATCACCTATTTATCAAAGTCTCGCCAGTAAAATATATCTATAATATATGTCTTTCCGTTTCAAGTCCCTGTCTTTGTTTTTCTGGATCAAATACATGTCAGGATTGCTTTGAAACCAACTAAAGGGTATTATTTAATATAAGACGGTTTTATCTTTGAAACCAACTCAAGAGTATTATTTAATATAAGGTGGTCTTATCTTTTCATGTTTCTATATGTTGTTGTGTATAGTTCAATACATACTGCACAAAATAAGATACTTCGTGGTAATAAATATATGACCCCTGACGTATGATTCGTATTGTTTTTCATACACACCAATTGCTGATGTAAAGAACTGAGAAAATCTATGGATTATCTAAAGGACGGATATGATATGATCATGTGTACAGCTGTCTTGGCTAATTCCTGGTCAACTGGAAGTGCACAATTCTAGCGAATACTAAACAGTTCTTTATTTAGTGTTCGTAATTCTTAGTTCATAATTCCCATTTCTTCATTTGTTGTCGTATTTCAACATTTGTACAAATGTCGAAATACGACAACAAATGAATTAAAGACTGTGAATTAAGAACTAAAATTTACGAACACTGAATATACAGTTGTTTGGTTTTCCATATATCACTGGGCAACGTGAAAGACCAAACGATCCTAGTTACAACTTGACTCAGTAGCCTAATAAATAGCTGCAATATTTGTAACGGTAATATTTGTCTTATCCACCGTTACAAATGACACACTATACGAGCCTTTGCGCAAGTAAAAATAGCTCTAATTGACAAACCTTTAACACATATCATCAAGGTTTGCATGGAAATAAGTAGTTATGTTACAAATAGTGTAGAGTGGAACACTGAAATCTTATCATCACAGTTTGCATGGAAAAAAGTAATTATGTCACAAATAGTGAAGAGTGGAACACTGAAATTGTTATCTTATCTTACCGAACAGTTTTTCTATATTTTCGAAGTGGCGTAAAATCACTTGCGTTTTCTAATTCTGGTTCGGCGGGCATTTTAAAAAACGACAGAAATATCGCGTAGTCTTTGTATTTAATTAAATTTTTAAATTTATGTGTTAAGTTTCACCTTTATTTCAGTGGGATTTGGTTTATTATATGTTGAACGGTTTGGGGTCAATTTATGTATAAATTAAGGAGTTATTGTCCAATAACCTTTTTGAAATCCAATGATTAAAACACTTGCTCCAAGGAAGTCCTTAGAACGATCCACTACTATGGCTGAAGTAAGACGGAAGACATCAGTAGTGAAACCATTTCTACCTAAGAAACAGTAATGGTGTCCCGGGTATTTCCCGGGAGAGAGAGAGAGAGAAAATGGGGTTTAACGTCCACTCGGCACAAACTAGGTCATTTCGGGACTAACACATGGTTCAATTATATTTCAATAATCCGCTTGCGCGTAGGGGTCTTTAGCAGTGGGAGGAAACCGGAGGGCCCGGAGAAAACCCACGAGGTTGGACAGGCGACCCTACTCCTTGTCACGTACAACCGGGGATTCGAAACCCCGCCAGTTGACTCAATGACAGACCGTATGATACAGCGCAGAGCGCACGTGCTAACCATTCGGCCACCCCCCCCCCATTTCCCGGAAGAGAGTTGATATATTTGTAGAGTAAAGAACACGAGACATGGGTGATCAACAGCACGATGATACACTATTCGATTATACAATGACCGATGTTGTGGTCTAATCTTTCTATCAGACTGTCTTTAATCAAGAATAGCTAGTTAGCGTGGTTCTATCAGACTGTAGTTAGATCTGTCTTTAATCGAGAATAGCTAGTTAGCGTGGTTAGATCGTAATTAAAGCCATTGCCCTGTTTTGTACCACAGCATATAAATGTCACATTGCCAGTTACTGTCTTATAGTACTCAACATCAGAGAGACAAGTACACAAAATAATTAGAGTTTGATACTAGAAACTAAAAGTGCATGCCTTAACCGCCTACCATCTTATAAGCAACGCGGAATCGACACTTCAATTTGAGGGAAAACTTGGATTTTTATTCTTCAAGAAAGTTATATAAAAATAATTCAGTAAAACGATCTAGTTAATCGTGATTTGGTAAAAACAAAACAAAACCCGTGGACAAGAAAAACGACATAGACATTTCACGAAAAAATCATCAAAAGTAATGCATTGTCTATGCTATTGAACGTTACAACTGATTTACCAAAGCGTAGGGCTATTATGTTTGTTATCCAAGGATTCCGTTCCCGGAGTAATTGGATATGTTCATTTCAAATGAAACACCATTGTAAAAAGATGAATATTCATTTCAAAATTAACGTATTACTAACTTTACTTCCTTCCATAACTTTGCAAGTGGGAATTCCCTTTGTTCAAATAAAGCCAGTGAATGCCAAACTGTCTCGAAAGTGAAAAGATGCATAAAAATAACTCAATTAAATCTTGAAATATTCTACGTAACTTGGTAATTATGTATATATATATATTATGTAATTATCTTATCAGTTAATCCCACAAATCAATCATTTGGGATAACCCCCAACTTAACTAATTTGAAATGTGCACCCACCCCTTCCGGAAATCGTGCAAGTGTTATATTGTACGGGTCAAAGTGATAAGCATAATTTATTATCGAAAATATCATTAGTAGCCTTGCTTAATTTCTACCCTTTCATTTAGTTAATGCTAAATATATATTAATAAGCATTCATATTTAAATATTGCAAAGCCTTTGTATCAAAATGTATTTTTACCGCTTGTGTCTAGCTCAAAATACCTCCAATCCTTTCTACAAGATGACATAGATTGGTCAGGATTTGCGGTATCATGCATATAGATTGACCAGAATTTAAGGTATCATGTATATAGATACAGTTGGTTTAACTTTTATCATAATAAAATCTATAGACTGTACGTGCTAGTTATATAATACTTAAATACATCCACAAGTTAATCCATCACAACTTTTGGAAGATTGTAAATTGCAGGGACAATAACTATTTTGTGACAGACCTTATGATACAACGCACACGTGTTAACTATTCGACCACCGAGTATATTTGAGAATAAATGGAATGGGGTTGAACGACCTACTTTTCTGCACCAACCGGGATAATGAAGATGGGCATATACCATACAATGGGTTATGAGGGAAAGTTTGCCCGGACAACAATTGAGTTGCGACTGTCAGGGGTGCTGTTCCTTGATCCACTGACAATGGAAAATGACACCCAACACAAGGATCGAACTTCGGCCTAGAGGCTAAAGGTTTACGCGCTGGTCACTGTCGCTCCTAGTAGTCTCCTTACAAAATATACCATACGTTATTTGGGTGGACATTACTGAACAATTGATAAATACATAAACCATACGTTAGCTGGGTGGACATTACTGACCAATCGATAAATACATGAAATAAGTTGTTTAACGGTTCTGGTCCGACTGGGCTAATGAAGAACGACGACTATAAAGACATCTGCAATAATGTTAATTTAGTTAGTGGTTTACAACAATAGTTCATAATTAACAACATTTGAAAATCAATTATCGAACTATATGGGCGAAATAATAATAGTTTATACAAGTCATATGACTAATCAGCGACAGACAAATCGTTATAATTAGTCGCAAACTCATCTATTCTTTTTTAACACAAGGCGCGATATATTCTATTTAAGAAGTTTGCAAATGTCAAACATATTCCTAAACAAATATTCGCCGGCAACAAAAAAAAGAAATAAGTAAAAGAATTATGTAATCAATATTCTGAGTAGAGTATACTTTTTTACCTTCGACTTCAAGTAGACATTTG